AATCAATATTTTTCTTTGCGCTATACCGTTCGAATACATCATATATTATCTTTGCTCTTTTATGTTATCCTTCTGTTTTCTTTCGCTCGTTCTTTTATCTATATATTTATGAGTACATATATATATACAGCTCTTTTCAAAAAAAACTTGCACATCTTGTTATATAAATATATCCTCATATATGACTCACTCTCAAGGGTGGGTGTGAGTGTAGGTGTAGATGTAGCTGTTGATATGAGTGTGGGTGAGGATGTAAGCTATGAACAAGACACATACCCACACCCACCCTCAAGATGCGTCATTAATCGGATTGAAAGGAATTACACTACGTGAAATGAATCCAAGGAAGGATCATGTCTACGAAGGATATATACTATCGGGTCTGATCTTTGAGCAATCGCCAGTAGTTGAGCCATCACTATGGCTACTGTTCGAAGATGACAATGGTGATCTGGAGCGACTCTTTATATACAATATTCCGGCAGCTGAAGGTTGGCAGTTAGTAAAACACACATACATTCACGGTACCAGAATAAGTATTTTGAATCCATACATGCGTATGGCGATGGATAACAAACCGGCTATTCGTGTGGACGATGCTTCGTCGATTATTCTACATGGAGATGCTCACAACGTGAAAGACATGTGTCGATGTTGTAGCGAATCCAATGCATCGTGTGTTTGTGGAAAATGCGGAGCAGCTCACTACTGTTCGAAGGAATGTCAAACAATGGATTGGAAGCAATGTGGTCATAAACTGATTTGTAACTGAATCACTCTTGATTTGTTTTTGTGGATGGCTAGTCCTATAAGACTGAAACGATTATTTTGATTCGAGAAACAAAGATTTGAGCACATTCATCTTGAGGGTGTAGGGTATGGATGATAGTGTAGATAACGAATGAACATCTATGCACATCCACCCATCTTGAGGGTGTGGGTGTGGGGGTAGATATGACTAAGTAATAATACTCTCACCCACGTCCACCCACACTTTCAAGATGACTTTCGATTTCTGACTGGTCATTAGACATTGATAATATTGGATCTAGTAGATATTTCTTGTTGTTTGACCTTTAACTTTTGACCCTGACATAGACAGACACACAAACTATTTTTTTTCATATAACTCTCCTTTCAGTCGAGGGAACAATTAAATTGAAATTAGAATTAAGATTGCAATTACAATAGAAAGCCGTTAGTGCAATCACTGTAGGATTAAAATGTGAAATACAGAATAACTCTTGTAACACTAACTAATACCAATTTATAATGACAGCCATAGTCTATGATAACAATCAATGTTAATTAATCAATATTACTTCACTAATTAATACATAACTACTGATTTAACAATACCAATACCGTATTGGTATTGTTACATCTCTAATACTAATTAATGCTCATATGGTGCAAGTTTAATTTCTATCACCCAATATGTGTAGTATAAATATGAGATTCAACTGCCCATGAACAACGAGAAAATCGAGAAAATACGATGTTATGTTTCTTATAACCACCCTGTATATCGTATCAGTATTGTGATACAAAATAAGATATATTTTGCATTTAATTTTATTAAGCAAATCAAGATAGAATTCTATTTATAACAATGGAAAATGAAGATAAAACTCTTTAGTATGTGCCAACGATGCAAAGATCCGTAATTGTTTTATTTTAGCACAATTGCGTCGTGTTTCGTCTCGTGTAAAGTTATTTGTAACGATTCTTAAATTATTATAAACGACTTTTAATTTTATTAAACATGGTACATATGTCTTTGTTTCATTTAAAAATTGTTCAAGGTAATTAATATTTCCATATAGTATGTCAAGGTAGGTAAGATGAGGATATTCAGCAATTTCATCTAATTGACTATTGGTAAGTTGACATGACTGTGATTCCATGTTTAAAATACGAAAAGTTTTGAGTAACGGAAAAGCTCGAGCAACTTGAATGAAGAATTGACGATTGAATGAAATCATATCTTGTACCATCAAATATGTAACATAATTAAATATAATATTTGGAATCGTATGACCAATATCTTTGAGACAATCAAATGTGAAAGGAATTGAAAAGACAGAACATGTCATTTCCTCGGAACTAATATAATTAATGATACTAGCTACATGTTGTTGTCCGATATTGGTAAATGTTCGTTGGACATCTTCGCTAGATAAATAATGTAGTAAACCAATAGTATTGATAAAAGTACAAATATAGAAAGTGAATGAATGAAGTTGTGGCATATAAACAAGAATTTCATTTTGAAGAAAAGTACCATCAACGAATCTATCTCGATTTTCTATACGAAGATATAAAGTTAATTTTTCCAAATTTGACATACGACGAAAAAGAGGTAGAAAATTAGTATCATGTAAACTAAATTGAATATCACATTTTAATGAGAAATATTTCATATTAGGTAAATTATCCTAAAAATAAAAATAAACATCCATTGACTAAATTAAAAAAATAAGTTCAGGTATACAATTAATTACTTGATAAACTATTTTCCTAACATTCATCTTTGTCTTCTTTGAAATATAGAGCTTATTTTTTAATAATGATAGACGACATTCAGAAAATTCTCTTTTGTAATTTTAGAATATAACAAATAGTACTGATCATATATCTATTCTCAGAAGGACTAGTACTACAGTAAAAAACTGATTCCATCTAATGTCTATGATCCTTCATATGTCATAATATGCAATGGTGAATGATGAAACAAAAATATTCCAATTTACAAGTACTTATATGGTACGATCTTATATATGTATTTTTTTTTCTGGAAGTCTTATTAGATGCATTATCAAATTCAAATTTTAAAAAAAAATCATATAGACAAAAGTATTTTACGTGTTACTAAAAGTTTCGTGAGACTGAAATGTACAACTGGTGTAAAAATCAAGGTATTCTGTTTATTTGATAAAGCTAACTTCTATAGTAAAGAAGCATCAAGTTTTATTATTTAAATACATTAGAATTAGTACCTATTGATTAGTAAACAATGATGCCATTAGTTGCTTTATCTCGTTTAATTAGTGTAAAAAACATCTGTATTTCGATCATTTTTGTCCAATATCACATTCACTAAACTGTCAGACAAATAACAATTCGTTTTATAATAATCATAATATTTTATTCATATATTTTAGTTGCGGCTATCTAATCAATCAAAAAAAAGATTACAACAATTTCTACATGATTCCAAGATTGCATAAGAAATTTGACTTTTGGAAAGTTTCAATCTTGTGATTCAACCACAAAAAAACTATTTGTCTATAATCCGCATTTTAAAGATGGAACATTTGTATCTTATAGTGAACTGGCTCTCAGAAGACATAGAAATTACGAAAGTTGCGCACGAGCGGGTTGGTGTAAACGTATGATTAAGAGTTGGAATGATGATGTGGGTGGAGATGAGGATGTAGTGGATTTGAAATGATGCATTCTGTGTACATCTTTCGGGGACCAAGAGACTAATCTTTTAAGGATTTTTTTAGTCTCATCAAGTACTATTTATTGCTAGGATATGACTTCTACTTTTTTAAATCAAAAATGCACAGAATTCATAGTCAACTTCGTCTCATAATTAACTACATTTGTTACGACTTACCATGTTGTGAATGATCGATGATGAGCTGTCTATGTAACCTATTCGAACAATAAGTGTAGTCAATTGTTTGAGTCTACCATCAAGCAAATAAAGACAATCGTCTAATGTGTACACATCGATACATAAATAAGTAAGAGTCGAAGAGTGGAAAGTTTTTGATGGTAAATTAATAAGTGTCAAGCACGGATTTGACATATTGCATGATATAATAATATTCAAATGTTTTAAATTTTTAAAGAAATTCAAAATATGTGCATACACATCTACAGTATAATTTTTTGATGATCCTGTCAGCTTGCATGTGTCATGATTTACAAGAATAAGATCTGTAATTTGTTGTTGAAAGATATGTCGAAGAGGTGATTCATCTAAATAAAAAAAAACAATAACATACTTTGTTTATATTTAATATCAGTCTTATATTTTGTTATTCCACTTACTTGCAAAATAATGTAAAATGAATTCTTTTTTGAAATTAAAAAGTTTTATTTTGGTTAGATTTGGATAGTCGCTAGCAAGAAGAATAGATTCCATCAAATCTGGTTTAAGAATAAAATATTTGACATTCTCATGAATTCTTGGCAATATATCGATGCAAAAGTGATCAAGTTTGAAACGGTCAATTGAAGAAATAGGATCGAGCGATACGAAATTAAGTATGCTACTGAAGATTTTTTCTTGTGCTAGAATGTCAAGTCGTTCATTATTAATATTCAATAACGAATAAAGAACATCAATATTGCTCAGTTTTTTCAAAATAATAAGTAGTATCTCGTCGGGTAGATCCAGAAGACGAACACCAAATTGATTCATATTTTATTTTGGCTAGAATAGATGAATTGCTTAAGAAAAGTGTGACGTCGATGTATCATTCATTAGAATAATAGTCAGCGAATGATGTTTCCTTTCGGTCAATTTCTTATAGTTCAATAAATAGTTGCTTTGTCATCTTCGTGGTCGTCGGTTATATGAAAATGGACGAAGACATTTCATGACGAGAAAGGCGAATGACCATCTTGAGGGTGTGGGTGTGGGTGTGGGTGTGGGTGTGGGTGTGGGTGTGTGTGGGTGTGGGTGTAGGCGTGGGTTTTGGTGTGTATTAGTGTGGTTATTAATGTGGGTGAAGGTGAGTGGGTGTCCGTTTCTTATTTTAACACACTCCCACCAACACTCACACCCATACCCTCAAGATCCACTCTTACTCTAAGATGATGAAATTTAAAAAAAATATATTTAAATAATTTTTTTGCTTTTTAATTTACCCACATATCAATTAATGCATTTTGAATTTGATTATCCGAAAGAAAAGAATCAGGAATATGTTTAATAAATAGTTGACATTTAGAATAATCAGCAATTTGTGCTAAAGCTTTAATAAGATCGAGATAAATAAATACATCTCCTTGAATACGATTTATCTTCATTTCATTAAATAAATCTAATATTTTCGAAAATTTATTATCTTTATTAAATCCATTCATCATTGTTCCATACATTGGTACTGTTTTATTTTTTGACTTTGAAAATAATAATTGAGCATCTGTTACATCACCACATTTCATTAGAGCATCTAATAAAGAAGTTAAGAGACGAGGATTTGATTTGAAAGATTCAGGAATCTGTTTTAAAACTTTTTCTATTAAATGTAATGCTTCTTTATTTGCTAATTGAGCACAAGCATTGAATAAAAGAATAATATTAACTTCATCAGGATTTTTTATTTCATGAAAAAGATCTATTGCTTTATTTGCTTGATTATTTTTAATATAACCTAAGAAAAAAAACGAAATCATTTAGTATCATTCAAATTATGAAAAGTTTTACCTTTCATCATTGCTCCACACATAAATATTGTTTTAGTTTTTGATTTATTAAATAATTCTTCAGCAATATTTACATTTCCAAAATCCACTAAATAGAAAATCAAATTTAGATTTTATTTCAATAAATAACTAACTAACTGTAAAAATGAATCAGTGATACTAATATAAAAGAATTTTTTTCAATGAGAGATAAATATCGTTGATGTATATTTAAACCACTTTGAAAATCTCTTCTATTAGTAACAAATTTTAGTACTTGATTAATAGATAAAGCAGATATAGTTTCATTGGATTTTTCTTCAGCTTTTGAAAATAAATCAATTGCTTTTTCAAATTCTTTTTTATCATTTAATTTTCTCATTTCAATTCCTAAATTATAATATGATCTTATCCTTTAGATCTTACATTTCACATTTCACAGAATGATTTGAAAATATTTTAAACATCGACAAATTCTTTGTTTAATTTAATAGCAATATAATATAATTTTTATCAAACAAAATATTTAAATAACTAAAATTATAGGAATATATCTATTCGTTAAAAAAACAAACTAATCACTAAAGAACTTTTCGAAAAGAAAAGAAAATTAATAGATGACACTGAGGTTACTAATAAGCCCTCGAGGGTGTGAGTGTATGATTGTGAGAGAAGAGCCCTTAACACCCCCAGCCACATCCACACTCTAGAACAAATAATAGACTGTCTGATATGTTCTTCTTCTAAATGATTATTTAAGTCAGCGTATTTTATTCTTGTTTTCTCAATTATTTTGAAAGATTTATTTAAAATGAAGTTTACATGTTTTTTTTATAGCAGTAAAGATTTATTAGGTGATTCTTTTATGGAAAAAAATAAAGATTGAACAAGAAAACTATCAAGGATATAATAAGTTTCAAACATGAAAAGATGAATAAATGATAGAAATGTACAGAGAATCGAAAGAAAAAAAGAAATGTACAAAGAATCGAAAGAAGAAAAGAAATGAAGTCGCAGAACCTAAGAAGTAATATAATAGATATTTTTTATTAGCATGTTTCAGAAAAGAAAACATGTAAATGTATTGTTCATTATAGACAATTAGATGTTTCATTGATATTAGCTTCAGTTTATGTTTTTTTTTGTAGTTCTTGTCATTAGAATCCTTTTCGCTTCAAACTGCTGTTGTTGCTGTTGGAAGAGATGCAGCTAAATTACTGGCTGCCCCACTAGCTGGTGTAAATCCAGCCGCAACTGAAATAGGTATCATAGCCACTGACGATAACGCATCAGTTGATACGCTAGTAATGCATTCTTTTATTGTTTTTTTTAATTTGCTTGACGAATTCAGATGTACGTTCTGTGACTGTTGAAGAAGATGCCATTTGAGCGAGTAGGATAATCTAGAAAAAATCGATCAAAAAGAAATTAAATTTTAAACTTATGATCTGAAATCTATCTTCAAAAATTTGATTAATTCGATGATCTAAAATGAAGAAATTTATTTTATCATATTGTGCCATTATATCCAGAAAGAAAAAATTCTTCGTTACATTACTCGGAGATTTTTTTCAATGTCTGATAAATGTTTAATAATTTGTAATATTGCTTATTATTTTTATTATTCAAACAAATAATTAAAAATATTTAAAATAAAAACAAGTAAGAAATTCGTCAACATCGTGTATATAGTAAAAAATGAATCGAATACAAAAAATTATAGTTTATATATTGTAGCTGAGAGTTGTTTTTTTTCATTTGCTCTACCTATAATAACGTAGAATAATGGGACAAAAGGGAGTAGTACGATTTTAAAAAAACAAAATTTTATTTTTCTATAGAAACACTTGTCTAAAATAAATAAATACACCGTTCGTTTCTATTTATTTGTGAGGACAAAAATAATGTAATGTAAAAACTTTTTTTTTCATTAATGCATTTCTGTAAAAGAAGAAACAGAACTAATACACAGATTATATATTTTTCATTTATTCCTTTTCGAAATTTTTCTTGGTTACATATTGAAATGATTATATTCGGACAGGTATTTTTAATTATATCCGGTGGATTTAACTGAAGAACTAATTAAGAATAAATTCAAATATTTAGATTTAATAATTTCAATATTCTTTTTATTTTCATTATTTGTTAAAACTAAAGATCGTGTAATTCTCTTGCATAAATCTTCAATAGTATTAACAATATATTGATATAGAAATTGTTTTGAATAAATAAATGAAGAGAAGCCGATCGACTATCATTTCTCATAAAGTGAAACTAAAAGAAAATGGTATTGCCTATAAGAAAATAAATATTTTTTTTGAAGTATAAAATTGCTTGTCCGAATAATGTAATTAAAGATTGAAATGCAGAGAAATACTTTATTCGAATTGTATTGACGTTGTTAATGCTTGCATGCATCATGTTAGAGAAATAATACAAATTAAGTGCATAGGCATTTGGATGAAAATGTATTGTTTTTCTTATTTACCGTACTTTGAGAACATTTAATAAACGTACAGTGAGGACAAAACGTGAATAAAAAAGTCGTCATTGAATTGTACATTACTTGATTTTAATAAGACAAAGAATAGCCATCAGAAATATGATTCATAGCTTAAAGTAGGGATCGGTGTGGGTGTGGGTAGCGAATGAGGATACACGTCCACACCCACACTCTTCAAAACTATTGATGTTGAGGATAGATCCATAAAGATGGGTATAATTGCAATTCAAGTATAATCACTCTCATCCTCATGCATACATTGATTGATGCCTATAAGTTATGGTACCAGTAAAACAACTGTCAAAAATAAATGAAAAAGGTCAGCGTCGAAGACATCTGATAATAGTACTTTCTGTGTTTTTCTATTATGCTTTTTATTTAAATATTAAAACATTTATTAGAAATACGAAATGTCAAACTTATGACACGTTTTGATATGTAAATTTAGGAAATTCGAAATATTAATATTCTATAAATAGTCTCGCAGGACTCTAGTTATATCATTAATTGCGAAACTAAATTTAATAATTTCATCTCAAATGTACAAAGAAGAGGTCCAAAGTGATATTTTGAAGAAATTTCTTTGATGTGACCGGATTATTTGTACACAGAGGAGCTTCGTATAAATATCCTGTGTGAAGCAATATGTCATGAGAAATAAATAAATTAAAGTGCGTCATTATAAATGTTTATTATAAGATAAAAATTAAAAGAGACGTGTGCAAAGTGGAAGAAATTTATGCGTCTTGTTTGATAATCATGAACGCATGTTCTAAGAACATGCTGTGAATAAGATTAAGTTCGTAAGAGATAAATTTTATTTATTTGCTCATAATCTTTGGTTTGCTAAATGTAATCATTCTATTTTTATTAGAAATATGTTTTTGCACGACTGCCTTGTCATAATTATGCTTTGTCAAATTTACAAAACTAATTATCTATTCGTGTGTGTGTGTTATTTTATTAAAGAGAAGAGATTTTTCATTTGTTAATACTAACATTGTGATCAGATAAACAAGCAGTTGGATAAACATGAGTACTATTACGCTTAAAGATGTTTATGTCCCACTTAACTGGACACAAATTAAATTTGGATTGTATATACTTGATGAAGTGTTGTCAATTCCGTGTTATCTATTTGTATTTTTTCATCTTTTGCGTAAGAAAACTGATCGAAAACTACTTCAAAATCATGCCATTATTGTCATGCTGTTCTTCAATTTTGTGTATTTAACATTCAGCCTGATACCAGGACTGGATTTCGATGTACGAGGTATAGTTTTGCCGTTTACTCCGGCATATTGTCTCACTATTCAATTCGTGGGCTTTGGAATTTATTATGCTGCAGTTTTTGCAATGCTTTGGATATCTATCGAAAGACATATTCTCATCTTTTATTCTTTTCTAGTTTCCACACAACGTGGATGTCTACTATTTCATTATATTCCATTGATTCTGTTTTCTCTTTACCCACTAGTTTTCTATTTTTATATGATCTTTCTTTATCCTTGTACAAAAACTTATGTCATGACGAGTTTCGGATGTGGTGGTCCTTGCTATCGTAGATAGATTAGCAGTGCTGCCACCTTTTGAAGCCCAAAAAGCAGAAAAAAGTTTATAAAAAGCAGAAAATGACAGACATTTCGCCATCAGAAAGCAGAAAAGATGTTTCTTACGTAAATCTACTATAAAGCTTACATTCAACATAATAATTAAAAATTGTGGATAAACTGTGTTTCGTATCACCCTCCCAGAACATCTGGCAACATGTCCGACTATTCGTAAACGAAATCGGGTTTTAAAGGCTTCGTACAGGTATTCGGAAGTAACGAATGTTTAAAAATTTTTAATTTCTTTTATGACTAGTGCTCGGAAACTTTTTTCTATAGAAGATCGTAAAAGAAGAAGTAATAGGTGTTTAACGGATTATCTATATGTTCAATAAAAACAGAATGTCTAGAGTGCGACTGATTTAATCGTATAGATCATAACGATCAAGCTTGAATTTAGTCTAAAGATATAAATTGACGTTGACACACAGCTCATGAATGAGTTTAACAGGGGATCGTTACGAACATAATGATTTCTCGTACGTTCTTTTATCAATAAGGATAACTATTGAATATTTTCAGTATTAGTTATAATCTATCGAGCGGATTTTATTCTGAAGAGACTGCTTTTTTAGTTGAATTTCGATCGCCATCTCTAACTCCATAATGTGTTTTTTTTAACTATTTTTCGTCTTCGCGAAGTTCCTAACGTGCACCTGGTACAGAAATTCGGAATGACAAAGTGGTACGAAACGTAGTTTCCCGAAAACTGCGCACTAAATTATAATCTTAATCAAATAAAATAAAGAAAAATAATGGATTAAAAAAATAATTAGAGTTATTAAACTTAAATATACAATATTAAGAAAAACAGCCAGCCATTATAGAACAAGAGACAGACAATTTAAGTAGATATAGGACAATATAGTAAGATGAGTAATTACTAGTAAAACTTTGTTTTTAGATTTCGAAAAATGATCATTCAGATGACAATTATTGATTATAGGTATGAGTAACCTAATATTTAAAAAAAGCAGAAAATTTTTAAAAAAGCAGAAAGGGCAGACAAAAAGCAGAAAAATCTTCAAAAAGCAGAATTTGTCTGCTAAAAGCAGACAAGGTGGCAGCACTGTAGATTAGCAACACGATTCGTTCGTATATAACGGATGCCCATGACTTCGCTCCAGTTCTTCTTATGGCCTTGCTCGATGGTGTTCTCATTCTACGTGTGATTATACAGAAACGTCGATTACAACAAACACCAGGATGGAGAAAATATCGAAAACTAATCATACAGTACATTCTTGTTAATGGTACTTATCTAATCTTTAATATGCCTTCAACTCTAGTTCATCTTGTACAGCAATTCGGGATGAACAAATGGGGTAACGATATCGTCAGTGCATACTTTAATCCAATGACAGATATTCCATCAATGATTGTAACCTATGCCGTTCTTGTAACAATGCCGAATCTAAAACAAAAACTTCGAGCATTGGTTATCTGCAAAAGAAATCGAAAAAACGTCGTTACAGCCATTGCAAGAACTTGACTGTCACACTGATTTCTTGAACATTTATTTTCTAGTATTCATATTCATCTCTGTCGTTTAATAAATATTAAAAATGCATCTTGCAGGTCTGGGTGGGAGTGAGAAATGGATAGAATACATGCCCATACCTACCCTCAAGGTTTTTTCCCATGCACATGATGACTCATCATCGATGAGTCAGAAGATTGGTTTTTTTCCAGTGGGAGATTTTTTCTGTTCTCGAAAGCAAAATGTGTAAAGACGAAAGGGGCGGCTTGCGCTATACTGCAGCAAAGAGTATCACTATTAAACAGTCTTCGATAAAGGTATATGCTATCTTCGTTTTACTGAAGAAGAAACAGTAATAATTGCTTCTGTCAGATTTCTCTTTCAATAAGTATTCGTTACGTAAACAAAAATCGTTGGATTGGGAAAAACTAGAAAAAAGACTATAACTCTAGAAGGAAGAGCTATAGACTGAAACACTTTTAGGCTTATTTTTATCTGAAGATCTTATAATGATTTTTCATAAAAAAAACTTTCATACAAATATTTTTTTTATCATCGATTTTAGTTTTGCATTGTTATTAATCTATACGGTATGGACTTTCCGATGGAATTCGATAATCCATTATCAAATCTGGTCAGTTATGATTTATTTTAATTTTCTTATTTTTCTTTATAATTTCTCTTTTTTTGATTTAAAGAATAAGGAACAAGAATCTCCAATGTCACTTCCTCCTTCATTATTTTCACCCTCTCCTTGGGCAAATCCGCCTGTTGTTTCCTCTAAGAAGAGAACTCCTACGTTGACAATCAACGATGTCAGATCACCGCAACAAACTTTATATCAACAACCACGAACACCAACCACAGTTGCCATGACACCCATGACTCCACGTATTACCAATGTTCTTGATATAAAACCAAGTTTACAGTAAATTTTGATGTTCAAAACATTTTTTCTTTTTATTCCGTTTCTAAAGAAATATCGTAGCAACGGCAAATCTCGGATGTAAATTGGATTTAAAACGTATTACTTCGCAAGCACGTAATGCTGAATATAATCCAAAACGTTTTGCTGCTGTTATTATGCGTATTCGTAATCCGCGTACTACTGCATTGATCTTTCAATCGGGTAAAATGGTTTGTACGGGCGGAAAAAGGTATTCGAATGGTTTCTGTTCGAATCTTCTTAAATATAAATTGACTGTTTGTTTTAGTGAAAATGATGCATCACAAGCAGCGCGACGATTTGCACGAATCATTCAAAAACTTGGCTTCGAGGTTAAATTTTCTGATTTTAAAATACAAAACGTGGTTGGTAGTGCTGATCTCAAATTTAAAATTCGACTCGGAGTGCTTCAGGTGGCACATACCAACTTTTGCCGGTAAATTTTTCTAACGAATTTATTTTTTTTTAGTATTTATTCTTCTAGTTACGAGCCGGAAGTCTTTCCCGGTCTCATCTATCAAATGAAGGAACTGAAAGTAGCTTTACTCATATTCGCATCAGGCAAAGTCGTACTTACTGGTAAAATGAATGAAAAAGATTTTTTTTATCAAAATTATATTTGTCCTTCATTTAAGGTGCAAAAACTCGTGAAAGCATTTACAAAGCATTTGAACAAATCTTTCCAATTCTATGTCAATTTCGACATACAGGAGCCTAACCAACGAAGGACATAAAATCTTATTCGAACAGTTTTAAATTATGAAATGTATAATAATTAATGTACTATTATAGTAATAAAGCCTTTTTTTGCTTTAGATGATCTGCCTCTTTTTGTTTTTGAGGGTGTGGATGCTAGAAGAATACATTATCTATACTCACACTCACACCCTCAACATTCGATATGATACATGAAAAAATTATAGGAAACAAAATAAATTTGAATTAAATCTTGTTAGACAATGATATCTTTTACGACGCTTTCCTTTTATTATATTTTCATATAATAGAAAAAGAAAAAGAAAGAAAATTTAATCAATATAAATTTGAAATCTTTCTGGTGGAATAAATTCATAACCTTCACCATGTAAAATGGGAATAATAACTGATCGAGGTGCATTTTTAATACGAGTTATTGTTAATATTTGATTTTCTTGAAAATTATTCATATTAAAAGTAAACTGTTTTGGTGATAATGTAAAACAATCAATACAATCAGTTGTATTCCATTGAACAAGAACAGTACCATTTCCAATAATTTGATGTGGTGGAGTAGAAAGAGAAACATGAAATTCTGCACTTTTATTTAATTTAATTGTTGCAGATTGTGGATAATATGTAAGACCAAGATCAACATCTTCACATTTAGTAGGCCAATCTTTTGGCATTGAATTAAAATATTTATCATCTGGTTTTCCAATTGATATTACATTATAATTTATTGTTGTTTGTATAAATCGATATCCTCGATAAACAACTTGATTTAATCGTAGAGGAATTTCTGTATTTTTTTTAAAAAAGATTTCTTGACATGGAGGTTTATTTCCATCTTCAGTTTCACATATTTCATTTGTATACCAATAATCTTCATCTGAAGAAGAATTATTTGAATGTATCATTTTATAAGTAAAATTAAGATACTTTTTTATTTCAAATGTACTTCCATTCATCCAATGTGATGGAAATACATTCAAATAATATCCTCCATATTTCCAATAGGCTGTATATTCACAATTTGCCATTGATGCATCACCACCTAATAATAACTGTACATAATATTTCGATTGAGGAGTATTAGGAATTGCATATGGAAGATGTTGTAGAGCATAACTTATTTGTGGTATTGGATCAAAACTATATTTAATTGATTGATAAGCACGTTGATTTATTTCATCAATTGCAATTATTGTTGTATCATCACCCATAGAAAAAAACAACTTGACGAGGAAAATATGGTTGTTCACAATATCCTTTGTAATGACAAAGCATACATGATAGTAAAAACAATAAAACTTTCATTATTTTCAATTAATCAGATATTTTTCTTGGCTTATGAGAATATATATATATATAGTGTTTTTTTGCTACGTAATAAATCAATTACTATCAAATGATGAATCGACAAAAAACAAAATGAAGGCATTGTCATCTACTTTTTATTTTATATCTGCTTAAGCTTCTTTTTTTTGCACTCTGTCGTTATGAATCTGATATCGTTCTTATTTTCTTTCTTTTAATAAATGCTCTCGATTATTTCTCTATAATGATGAAAAACTTATTTTGATGGCAGTAAGCAAATCAAGTTTGTGGGAATCGGAACATGAGGGCGTCTTTAATCTATTCAATGTATTCTAGTAATTCATAAAATGAAATATCTGACATTAACTTTAACTCATCAAGTTCGACATAAGTTGAAGTACTCTTTTGATAAAATCTTTATGTCGATTATTTGTTAAATATTTAAGATGAAACGAAGCAATTTATTCAATATACATCTTAGCTAGAATAGTATCGAAAGTTTCATCATAAAAAATAGGAATATAAATGTCACTAGTAAAATAAAATGTCATGGAAACTTTAATGTTATTTAAATATTGGCCAATGACGTGCAACGTCTTGTTTACAATGTTGATAACTTGCTTCAATTGCCGATAAAATTGATTCAGGTAAAGGTGATTCTATTGCTAAGAATTTTGTATTCGCAATCAAATATTCAGGTTTACTTGATCCCATCAGAATGGCATCACCATATTGACCGGATAATTTCGAATGATAATTATCCCATCTAAAAGCAACTTCTGTCAATGTCAAGTTACTTTGATTTTGTTGATTATATTCATTTACTGCTTGTTTAATCATATCAATAGCTTCGAAAATTGATTTTTTCCAATATCTTTCTCTGTACAGATCACCAACAACTGGTGCCGTAAAACGACCTTCAGGAATATCTTCCTTATGACTGATATCACCTTGAGAATATTCGTAACGACCTGTTAATAGACCACCTCCCAAAGGATTATAGGCATAAAAACTAATTCCTAATTTTCTTAAACATGGCAATAATTCTAATTCTGCATCACGAGCAATCAAATTATACATTCCTTGATAAACCGTAGGCAGAACATAATTATTTATTTTACAGATATAATAAATCTCAGCTACTTCCCATGATTTATAATTTGAAACACCAAATCGTTTGAATTTTCCTTGTTTGTATAATTCATTTATAGCACTTAAAGTTTCTTCAATAGGCGTATTTGGATCAGGTGCATGTAAATAATAGATATCCAATGGTGGTGAATGAACACTTTCCAGTTGTAATCTTTCTAATGATTCTTTACATTGTATCAATACTGATTCTTTCGATAATGATGGATTCTGTTTTGCCTTCGCATTTGCTTTGGTATGAAATAAAATTTGTTTCTTGATGTTATCATCCAATTTACCTAATATATCTTCAGATATTCCGAATTGACCTCCATAAACATAAGCCGTATCAAATTCAAGTGTTTGTGATTTGTAAGCATTGGAAGATTTAAATAATTCAATATAAGAATTGATCATCTGATGAGAAACATCCAATGGTTGAAGTCGACCAAATTCCATACAACCCAATACTAGTTTAGGACGTTGGTGAACTGGCTGAGTATCAGTTGAAGTCATGGTATTCTATGTACGAATAGTTAAAAGTACAAAAAGTATTAGAATAAATTGTAAATCTAAAATGAATCAATGATTATCGACAAGATACATTTTTAAAAACACAATAGAAAAATGTGAGCAGAAAATTAAAGCACCTCCTATTGTGACGATTATGTTGGGAGAGATATATACGCTGATGATAGTACGCCGTTATTTATTTCTTCCTCCCAAGAATCGCATCGTTCTGATACAAAACACACACTTATATAATCGTCCAGCAAAGAGAATAAAAGGAAAGGTAATGCCAAAGTACATCAAAATGTACTAAAGTAAGGACATACAAAGGTTAACTATTATATGAGACGAACTGGAAGGACAAATAGCATGCATACAGTGCATGCAAGCAAGAGCGTCACATCTATATAGCCAAGTCTTATCTAAACAATTTCCAAGCACAGTAATCCTATGCAGGTACTGGCGTGAGTGTTAGTGTTGATGATGAATGAGAAGACTACCCACACTCTAACAGATTGGTTCAGAAATCGATTTCTTAACTAAAAAAAGTAACGTGTATACCGTACACTTTGCTTATTACGCTTGTTGTTCGTATTCTTGCTCGATGATGTAATATTTAAAACTCCAGTGTAAATGCACTTTATTTGAAAAAAATTATGCTTCAACGTAGTTCGTGAATGAGAATAGCAGATTGTTTTTTATTTTTAACCGATGTAAACACATGGGTACTTCTCCAGGTACACGACACTATCATACAATTGATCAAAAAAATAAAAAAGAAAGAAAAGAAAATTTACTGGCTAATCTCCCTCTTTCAATTAGAAGAACTTAAGAAAAGAGGGCGTAATTTGTTGAATAATATACAGATCAAATAATAATTATTTAAAAAAGAACAATCTAATTAAAAATTAATAGATTTAAGATTAATGTGATTAAGAATGTTCTGTATAATATCATCTTGTTCGTATTGTTTCATCATTTTCAATGGTTTCTTCTCCATTATCTGCTCTCAATGCCTTAACTATCCGTTAATGGAATGAATTAAATTCAATAACTGAAAATATAATTGATTTTTGTCAAAGAATTGGGTGACTACATATATATCTAAAAGAATGATACTCTTGAGGGTGTGTGTGGGTGAGGGTGGGTGTTGGTGCAGGTATCGCCTGAATGTGGGTATTGTATGAATATTCAGTTTATGTTATATCCACATCAACATCCACACTTGCATCTTCAAGCTGTAAATAAGATATATTTAGTTGACGACAAAACTTTCGTCCGCATTAGGATGATACTTTAATATTATTTTGCCATATGAGAATAGATTTCAAAAATATATATATATGTATAGAGGAATTTGAGACATTTACACAGTACATATTAGTCTTTATAAATGTTTGCTTCTACTTTGAGAGAAATAAAAGTATGTGAATACATCCATATTTTAGTTGTTCGTTGAGGTGTGAGATGCATTATATAGTATGAGAATAAAATTTCGAACTGATAAATATCTACACTGTAAAAAAATAAATGTTCTACCGAATCTCTAAAAAATATGTGGATGTATAATAAACTAAATATTCACATTACAACCAAATTCACCCCTGAAGATGACATACAGTCATAAATCATTGACAAGGGCATATTTTCAGTTATGTTAGAGAACAGAAAAAAGAATGAGTGATAGAAGAAAATTTTGAGAGTTCTTTATTCTTCGCCTACGCAAACTGATACGAAATAAAAAAATATAGGATTCGACGCGTCACTATGCACATTTTCATCGTCAAAAATCATTTCGTTTCTATACAAAGCAAGTTTCTAAGGATTTTTTTATGCATTATAATGTAAATATTTTATGCATTCAGCGTCGCGTTTCCTTAAGCGTTTGACTAAATAATTTCTTACAAGTATTAGGAAGTTTTTAGTATCGTAACATGGAGTCAGATAACAAATCTTTTGTCAATGTCTTTCGATACATAGCTCGTTACTAAACGCCGTCTTCCGCATGTTAATCGTTTGCTATACGTGAGATCAAAATTTTCTCGGAGTAACATGTTACTTTCTCTTGAGTAAAACAATGACTTGTTTGTTGAAGAGCCACCAAGAACTTGTGCTTATTCCAATTATCGTGTGCGACATCCTAGTTCAATAGCTCTGTTGATAGCAAAACTAAGAAAAATAATGTCAGAATTACTCCTGAGAGGTTCTTACGAGAAACTAAAACTTCAAAAAGTTAATCATTACCTCTTTTCCGCTTTCTTGTGTTCATTTGAAAGATTTTTAAGGCCGCCTCTAAACTGGTAGTGCTCCATCGTCTATGACTGCTATCCGATAGTATTGTTTAGGAAGCAATAGATGCTATGCAGTTGGCTCTGGTCATGTTACTTGAGCTATCTATACACAACAGAGATGTAGGATCTACGGGTGTGTGTAGATATCGAAGAAGATTGACACTCACACCCACATCCACACTCGTCTTACTACAAATCTGATGAATGACATCGGCGAGGATAATGCCGTCGTCGAAGAATTTTAGTTCATCCTATCTTTTTATAGTCTACTCATTATAGGAAATCAGTTATCAAGCAGCATAACAAATGGCATTCACAAGCAGCAGACGCTTTGTAGATAATTATACCTCAACACGGCAACAATATGATTGGAATCCAATATCTGGTTATAGAGATCGGGCTCTTAAGTCATTAGAAGAAGCTGTAGAAAGCATCATTCCATTAGTCGACAACGTCATACAATATGCAGACGAAGCCAAACAAAAATGCAAAATAAATACAAAACTGACAATAAATGAATCGGCAGCAATCTATCTTTATACAATGAAAACATCCTTCTATGAGAAACTCAATGAGACTCTTCGAATTGAAAATCCACAGGCGCTGGCACCCTGGTTCGACTTTCTAAAACTATTCATTACCGCTCTAGTGAAATTACCTAAATTACCGTCACATCCGACTACGGTATGGCGAGGTGTTGCAAATATTAAAGGCTCTGATTTCTATGACAAGGATATGTTTACTTGGTGGAGTGTGAACTCATGCTCGTTAGATGCCAGTGTCGCTGCAATATTTACATGCGAGAAGGGAACTCTGTTTTGCATTAATACTATTAATGGAAAAGACATTAGTGATTACTCATCAGCGAATAAAGAGGAGATAGAAGAGAAAGAAATCGTTCTTATGCCTGGAACTCGTTTGCGTGTAAAAACTAAAACGTTTGATATTAAAGATTTTTACGTCGTTCATTTGGAAGAATGGTAAGCCTATTTGAAAAATATTACAAAGTCTAACAAACTGATGTATTAGTCATAAAATTCACTAAATATTGTAGTTTTTGACTCACGTCAGTGTAAAGGGCATCAAACCAGATTTCTTGGGATCCAAAAATTGTGAGCCTAAAATTCTCATATTTTCAAGCCTTCAATCTGACTGGCTTTTCAAAAAATAGATTTTAAAACTTTACACAGTTCATGAATTTAGTATCTATTTACAAAATGTGGAAATCAAAGCCTGAGCAAAAAATACTATGAATCTTCAAGATCGTCGACTTTCTACCTAAAAGCACTATCTTTGAGTCAGTGTCATGCCTCAGTGCGAAATACTTATATAACGATCAAACTGACGTTTCTAAAATATTAAATTCGTTATATTCTATAAAGATTTTATTCCTGTTATCCCCATATCCGAAGTACAAAGAAGATTCTTCTTTCAATATACGAAGTGAAAGGAGAGAGTCTTCCTTCGTATAATTCAGTGGATTTTAATAATTTTGTTGTGAATATTGAAGTCGTACGCTTAACTGAAATAGATCATGTTCGATAAATTAGAACACACTTGGTAGATTTGGAGACCTCATCTTTTAATATTCGGAGAGACATCTATATTGACTTTTAAAAGCTTCATCTCTGTATAATGCAACATGAATTCAAAAGTCTTCGATTTACGATTTCTCACCATTTTTTGTGATTTTTTGACTACAAGTTTCAGCTACCATTCATCTATTTCACATTATTGAATCTATATCTTTTAGCACTCCAATTCCCGAAGGGAAACATGTCATGATATCATATGATCCGAACAGTCAAGAAATTGTATCCAGAATTTGTCATACTCTGCATCTTAAACATATACCACTTTGGTTCAATGAACAAAAAGAAATGGCGACTAATCTAAAGAAAAGGTATAATTTTTTGCATTATTTTCCTTTTGTCTGAACACTGCAATTATACTATTCTTTTTCGCAGTTTGGCTGAAGGAGTAGAAAATGCTGCAGTCGTTTGTTGTTTCATGACTCCAGATTATGAAAAATCTGATTTTTGTCAACTCGAATTACAGTATGCGCAAAAGCGACACAAACGAATCATTCCTTGTATGCTCACTGATACAAAAGTATGGAAGCCTTCTGATTGGTTGAAGTCGATAACTAAAGACCTCGTACCAATCCACTTTCACAACGTCTCGGAATCATCAACCATGCAAAGGAAGATAAGAGAACTGATTGATAGAACCGAAGAGCAACCTTCAATATCTCATTGTATATCGTCACAAGTAGTTGACGCACCAAGTTACCTACTTGAACTGATTAAATATGAATATAAGCGAAATAATTGTATTGAACGTTTCATGAATCCAGCCGAATCTTTTCCGATCGATCAAAGTTACATCAATTTAGCTATGATCGATACCAAAGAGCAGCAAGAAAAAGAGAAGAAGCTAAAGCAACACGACGAGCAGAACTCTGCTTCGAAACAGCGCAATGATAGGATTCTCGGTACTTATGAAGAGATTTATGGTACAAAAACTTCGATCGATGTGGAGAACGTTTTTGATAAATGTAAAGATCAAACAAAGAAAGTGCTATTGCTTGGGCGTGCTGGAATTGGGAAATCCACGTTTTGTCAATATGTTACTTACAAATGGGCCAAACGTGAACTTTGGACCCAGTATGACCTGATTATTTTGATTCGATTACGAAGGTTAACAGATAATCGCTATATATCTGCTCAAAACTGCTCACCAGTTCATCTTGTAGAGAAAGAGTATTTCCCGTTTGATGATTTTTCGAACGAAGAAAAACAACAATTCAAAGAAATATGCGATAATGGTAAAGTTCTATGGATATTAGATGGCTATGACGAGTTTGTACAAAACATCCCACACAAACTAGAAGATGCGTTCGACTATATCCTCAAGACGCAACACCATATTCTGACGTCTCGTCCATATGCTATTGCATTGTCGTACGATGCGCAAATGGAGATAACTGGATTTACAAATGATAATATTGAAAAATATACCAAAGCATTTTTTGATCAGATTAAAGGCAAAACATCAAATTATTCTCTTGAAGGTCAAAAACTTCTGCACTTCTTAAAGTCAAATGTAAGCATTTGGGGTATTGCCCATATACCTATGAACCTGGAGTTAATTTGTAGTCTATGGGGTGCTACGGATTGGTCAAAAAAGAAAACACTAACAATGACAATCCTGTACGATAATATAACAGAATGGCTGTGCAAACGACACTTAACAAAACAAAATATTAATTCTACACAAATGAGAAAAAAAAAGCTTTATTATCTTTGCAAAAAAGAGTTACATTTCTTGGAGTGTTTGGCTTTCAACGCAATGGAACACAGTGGCATAATCATACCAGCGACACTACTCGAGAAGACCGAAGACGAAACTGAATGTGACTTAGATGATCATCCACAACTACTTAACTTCGGTATTCTCAAACCCTACAATGATATGCCTGCTGGTGGTCAACATCCAGCGGAACAACAGTACTACTTTATTCATCTTAGCTTCCAAGAATATTTTGCAGCACGCCACTTAATTCGAACTCTCAACAGTCCAGAAAAACAAAAGGCAATCAACTTTATAAACAAACACAAATATAACCGACGTTATTTGTATGTCTTCATCTTTGCATCGGGTCTTCTCGCGCAATCCGACAATAAATCCTCTATGGAACTGTTCCGGGCAACGACACAAGGGCAGCATTTAGATCTTGTTGGTTTGATGCACATTAAACTGATCATTGAATGTCTTGATGAGCTCGCAGGTGAAACTCTCTTTCGGCAAAGCACTGATTTAATGAAATCCATATTAGATTGGCTAGATATATGCATCATTACAAAATCCACTGCCATCGTTGAAACTCTTCTAGAATCGCTGATGCGCACCAGCTCATTATGCAATAGCTCTATATTGCAAAACAAAATACTTGAACTCCTTCGTAATGAAGACCAAGCAACACAATCTACAATATACTATATCGTATCCAAACTACCAATACACGAACCTATGCCAGAACTCATAACTAAATTGTGCACAGCAATTCAGGATGAAGATTCGGATGTCAGACATTATGCGTGTAAAGCTCTAGGAGCGATGTGTGAAAAAGCAGCAACAAATGAGATAATCTCTGCTCTCATCAATGCACTTCGTGATCATGATTCAAATATCAGATGCGATGCGCGTATAGCTCTCACAGTAATCGACACAAACGTAGTAACAAATGAGGTGATATCTACTCTCATCAATGCACTTCAGGATAAAGATTTAAATGTGAGACACAGTGTGTATCTCGCCCTACGAGCGATGGGTCAAAAAATACCAACGAATGAGGTGCTGTCTTCTCTCATTAATACACTTCGGGATGAAAATTATAATGTCAGACAATCTGTGTGTGTAGCTCTAGGAGCGATGGGTGAAAAAGCAGCAACACATGAGGTGATATCAGCTCTTATCAATGCACTTTGGGATGAAGCATGGTCTGTCAGACAATTTGCATGTGAAGCTCTAGGAGCGATGGGTGAAAAAGCAGCAACGAATGAGGTAATCTCTGGTCTTATCAATGCACTTCAAGGTAATAACCGATCTGTCAGAGAATGTGCATGCCAAGCCCTTGGAGCGATGGGTGAAAAAGCAGCAACGAATGAGGTGATCT